CTGATAATTTCAGCCTAAATGTTACTTTTCCATAAGGAACCAACAAGGAACCAATGCCATGAAAAGGAGGAAGACACCCCGTGGCTGGATTAACATCTACCATGTGAACGTTCTTGACACACAAGAAGATGCCACAGGGATCCAATTTAGCCCTCAAAACCAAACTCCCACTTTGTAAATGATTTTGTACAGGAAAATAAGTACAAGATTAGCATTTCTGATCCACACCCAGAGTGCCTGGTGGTTCAGCATATGATGGGCACCAACTCAGTCTCCCTTAACCTGTGGCACAGGAGGGTCACACAGGTGTGGAACAGCCACGTGCCACTTGGGTTTGCACTTGGCACATTTCACAGGAATCACAAGAGCTGCAAAAATGAGCAATTAAAACTGCATTTCATTTGGAAATTTGAATTTTCAGCGCCACCAACATTTTTTTTTTTTCCCAGGAAGGCAACACTGTCAAAATGTTTTGTTTATGCAAAGCTCTGGAAAGGAAAAAAAAAGCCAAACAAACTAAAAATATGAAGTCAGCTGAACCTGAACGGAGCTCCAATTACACTCATTTTTTTAAAGCTTTTGCAAAAGTGTTTGAGCTTAATTAGGTTAAGCTATTTCAAAGCATGCCCAGTTGTTGTAATTTGTTTATGATACAGAGTTGCTCTTTGATCATGAATGTTCATTTTTATAGAAACCCTGTTATCAGTCTCTGGATAAAAAACAAAATGAGCAGTGTTTGTGGTAAGAAAATTTGGAAAAGTTTAAGGAGCTTAGAAACGAGCTGTCTTATTAATAAAAGAAAGACATGGCTTAATTTAGCATGTGATGGCAGTAGGGTAAGTAAATTGTTTTTTAGGGAAGAAAAAGAAAAGTGTGTTAATTTATCCATCCTGCCCAAGACCTGGTGTTGGAGTAACTTTAGTAGCCTGAATGTTACTGGCTCTTGGATAAAGCACCTCTAATATCTGCTCATAATTTTTATCCCTTGAAATCCTTCCATTTCCATAGAAAAAGAAAACAAATTACTCTCCAGCCTTGAAATTGCTGTTTGATTTGGGTATTTTAAAGAGATTTTCCCAGAATGCTGAAAAAGGTACAATTCAGTGTAAGTGTCCCTACGAAGATACTCTGGCTCTTCATTTTTAGAGAACAAACTGTAGCTGTGGTTGGAATTGGGTAACAAGAACATCCTCAGACCATCTTTATTTAAAAGCATGAATCTGGGTTAGAGGCTGTGGGCTGCCTTTCAGCTTTTCTCCTTTTTTTTTTTTTTTTTTCCTGGTGTTTTTGTTTAAATCTTTTACGTGGTAAGATGGGTGCATTAGCTGCACGCTTTTCTAGCTGAAGATCATCCAAAATACATGAATACATCGTGGCCTTTGGGAAGGGCTGTATTCACAGAGCATTTAAATGAGGTTTTTTCAGATATTGCATGAAGATATTTTTGCACTCTGAGGGGAATAATGCAGATCTGTCGAAGGTTCCCTGTACCAGCACAGCTCTCTCTCCCTGGAACATGCTACAGAGTGGAGAAGAGCTACATATGCAAAAATTGAGGTTTGAGACCATATTTTAAAGCTGTGCTCAGCTTTTTTAAATTATCTATTTATTCTTTAAATCCAGCTGATAATGTAGGTGGCCTGTGTGCATCCTTGCACGTCCAAGGATGCCAGGATGGGTCAGCTCTGTGCAGTCTCACCTGATTTATGCACAGATTAGTCACGGATGCAAATTAGACATGCAATATTTGTACACTTTTTTTTAAACCTTGGTCTTAATGACTCACCTCCCAAAACAAAACTAATGATGTTGAAGAGCAATATGCAAATATTTGCTCTTTGACAATGACATCTTCAAGAAGCAGCCAAGACTCCTGTATCATTAGTAAGGCCAATCAACCTACTCATAGTAAACAACTTAGTCAATGAGCTGAGTCTCTTCTGCTGCTCACAATTAACTTTGAATTACTTTCACATTTTTCAAATGTGTTCAATACCCAACATTTATTTTGAGTTATGCCCAGATTTGCGAAGGTATTTTTACCAACAGGAGCTGGACATGTTGACTGCTCAGGTACTTCAAAACTCACTATCTCCTAAGCTCTGCCTGTATCTGATGCTAATTTTTGGTCCTTATGGTGGACAGAGACTCCTTTTGTTAGTGGTCTCTTCACTTTTGGACACTGAGATGGGTTACTGAGACTGAGTGGACTCAAATCACCTGGTGTTATTTTTGCTCCAATTAGGCTGCATTGAGATACTATATCCATATTTAAAATCTGCTTTCCATAAATGTTATGCAACATTCCCTTAAAAATTGCTGTTTCAGTTAACATTTCTGCCCATAAATCAGTCACTGGAATATTCAGAGAAAGCAAATATGAAAGGGGTGTGAACACAGCTGAAGGCTATTCAATGTTTTATTCAAGGGAGTTTTCATGGAAAATATTTTGAGGTATTTGCTTAGTTCTAATCATTACCATGGGACACCCTGGAAATCCAATAGTAACAGAAGTGCCAAAACTTGAAAGCAATTAAATATATTTGAAGAAAGAAATTCTCAATTTATGTTTGCATTGAAATGTTGGTGCAGGAAAGAGGCAGCCCAGCTGAGCCAAATCCCACAATTCTCTCAGCATTCAGGGCTTTGGAAGTCCATGGATATACCCTCAGCTCCATGAGACCCTCTGTGACTACGAGCTTTTGTTTGCTGTCAGTATTTTTTGCCAGGGCTATTGCTGTTTGAATTTCCTGTGAAATATTGCAGACTGTTTCCCTCCAGAGATCCTGGTGGGAAAGCACCATGTTCTAGTTTTGTCTAGAACAGAGGAGTGTCAAGGACGTGGCACTCAGAGCTCTGCTCTGGTGGGGATAGGTCACAGCTTGGACTTGATGTTCTTGGAGGTCTTTTCCAACCCTAATGACTCTGTGATTCTGTGATGTCTGAGCTGGTGCTGAAGCAGCTCAAATACTAAGAGCAAAATCCCAATGTATTTGCTGTGGGCTGTCAGCCCAAGCACGTGGCCCCTCTGTTGGAGGTCAGGCACCTTTAGGAGGTGCAGGTTGCCCAAAAGGAACTGAACCTATGCAGCTCCTATTTCAGTGGGAGTCAGGGAGCTGATCAGATCACAGATGCCCTCAATAATGTGATGAATGGCACCTTCAACAGGCTCCTGAGACCTCCCCGTGGTGCTGGGGCTGGGCTGTGCCTTCTCCGATTGTATTTGAGCAGCCGGAGCTGCTGCACGTGCTGAGATGTGAGGAGGGTTTTCGTGCCTGTGAGAGTTCAGCCCCGAGCTGCAGCCCAGGGTTAGGGCTTCTCTTGCTTTGCATTCCAAGGGTTCTTTGTCTGGGCTGCGTGTCCAGAGAGATAACAACAATGAGAATTCATGGAAATTCAGTGCTCTCCTCCTCTCCGCCGATAAAGCACGAGATAATGAAGACATTGCGTCTGAAACGTATCTGGTCGAATTTTGGAAGGCCAAAAATATGAAGGCATTTCATAAATCAGGCTGGATGGATGAACTCTTGCAGCGCAAAAGAGTGCCAAAGAGCCATACAGGGTGGTTTTTTTCCCTTCAGGATTCAGCACTTAGCAGCTATTCAATTACTGTTTCAAGATAAAGCCGAATGCAACAGCTACTTTACACTATACTTCATATTTTACCCTCTCATGAATATAGAATTGCACTGCTGATCACACAGGCATCACACAGCTAAGTCCTAATATCCACATCCTCAAAAAAACTGTTTCTGTGCATAGTGGTTTCAACTGAGTTTGAACATCTGGACTTGGACGTGGCATGAAAAAAACACCATTGTTTCCTTTAGGAATGGGACTTTCACCAGTTCATAAAAAAATTGTAGTGGGGGGATTTGTGGGATGTGCCCTCCAGGCTCAATCTGGGGTATTATTTAAAAAAAATAACAACCAGATGACAAAGGAAAACTGTCTTGCATAAATAACAGGCAGTAACACAGAACGTGATACACAAGCAGAAAATCTGAAATCAACGTAAAATCTGCATCCTGTTCCTCAACATGCACTGTCTGGTCCCAGCTCTGCCATCAGTTGCAGGGTACAATGACTTTACACATTGTAATTGAGGGTGTAATTGAACCAATTTTCTATAATCTTCTCTACATCCCCAAAGCAAACCCTGAGCTACCCCAGAAACACATTCACATTAACTGTCTCCAGGCTCCACTTCTGTCACAGAACTTTTCATTCCAATCTTTAGTTTATAGTGGTGTCATTAGGAAATATTAGAAATGTTAACATTTTAATATAATGAGGTAGTGAAACTTTTTTATTTTTCTTGCAATATCAACTTTCTGGAAGTTATTAAAACCTGACATTTTGTAATAAAAAAAATAAACCCACCGACAAACCCAAACAAATGAAAAGAGGAAATTTAGATGCAGATACTCAAAATACCCAGTGCTGATCTGCTGAACCACAGGATAAACTTTGATTCTCCTGGAGGTATGAGATGAGGGACTAACCTACACATTAGTCCAGGGAAGAAGAAGTCACATCTTTTTCTCATTCGAAACACTCATTTTAGATATTTAGATGCTGAAGTCAACAAGGTGCTTCAGCACATGCCTGAATCACAGCCCAGTCAGTTCACTGGGTGCCATAAAATAACATTTGATAATTTGTACAAAGCTTGAGAGACGGCTGGTGATTTGTTATCCGTAAATCCAATGAACTTTTGACATGTCCTGTTGCCTGGGTGAGGCAAGACATCCATTCAGTTACTAATGGGGGAAAGTTGAGGCCCAATATGATTTGTTTTCCTGATGTAAATGTTGCACAGAGTCATATTTTGTGAATGGGTGATAGATCTAATGAAAGCATTATCCCTTCCCCACAATGCTGAAGTGTAATGAGATGAAACATTTCGAGGTGTTTAGGTGCTCAGAAACACAGGTGTGGACTAATAAAAATCCTTTTAAGCAGCTACTGGTAGACTTATGCACTTACACTTTAAATATCTGGTTGATCAACTAATTCTCTACGAAGATGGCAGAAGTTGGTCCTTTTCCCTCTAAAACAAAATAAAATGGCATATTCAGAGAATGCTGAATCATGCAGGATGCAAAACTCTGCTTTTAAAGGTATTTTTTTTCCCTGTGGGGAAAATTCAAATTGTAAAATTCTGACTTAATGTGGAAATCTGGCAATTTCAGTGAGGCATTAGTTGGGAAAGTTTTCTAGGTCAGCCCGGGATGGTGGATAAGGGAGGAATGAGTAACACTGCCTCTGAGTAGCTAAAGCCCTTGTGGCTCTAGGATGTTAAGAGAGCAGCCTCAGCCTTATATATCTTACTTAGTCAAAGAATATATAACTTCATCAGAGTTGGCTTCAGCTTTCAAGTAGAAATAAACCACTTCTATTACTGGGAATTAATAGATACTCATATTACAGCAAAACATGGAAAATTTTTTGCCTTTCTGGGTTCACAGCTGAAGGAAAGGAACAAAAGGAAGAACAAATGTTAAAGAGAGAAGCGGCAGAAAAAGCAAAAAACCAGCAATGTTTGTAGGTAAACCCTCTTTTTTCTTTTAATAAAATGCAAGCCTAATCTCAGTTTGGCAACTGTTTTCCCTGGGGCAGGCTGGGCTGAGGGGAAATGCTGGAATCACAAGCTCAGAAGTCATCCATGGGCTTGCAATACTTGCTCATGTCAGCTGAAGGCTGAGCACACAAGGCAAACACAGCTGGTAACATCATCCAGACTCTATCCAAGACTCCCTGTGGCACAGGCTCATCCAAGGGAGCTGGGAATGGGCTCACACTGATGCTTGCATTGAAGGCAACTCAGTTTTATACCCAGTCACTGCTATTCAGGAGAAATAACAGCAGCCTGGGCCAAGCCTGAGTTTAGTTAACACACTCTATTCACTTGATTATTGCTAATATATATATACCAGTACAAACCAAACTAGGGCACAAGTTAAGTCTACACAGGGGAAATTAGAATGGTTTCTTTTGTCAGCAGCACTTGCATGTACCAAAAGGGCACTACCATCAACTGTCACCATGGCCATACTGAGGATGCATAATCCAAATCACCTGGAAAAGCAGCATTTCCTAAGGAAGGGCTGGGAATCACTCCCCTTTGATCTGGTTTCCAGCGAACCTTCCAATGACTGTGAGGGCTGTCTGTGCCTGCAGCACAGCTCTCCCCACCCTCCCCAGAGAGCTGCTTCTGGTGCATCTTATAGAGACACTTTCACAAAAAAAACTGTATCACATTCCACTTCCAGAACTCACGGTGCCACAGCCAAGAACATCCATCAGTGTTTGGAGCCTCATCCCCTGCACGTGTAGACCCAGCTCTTGGAGTAAGAGAGAGATAAACTGCAAACATTTTCAGAGATTCAGGAGAGAGTATCTGGATGGTCTAAAATCTGGTTTCTACCTTGACTCCAGAGCTGGCATTACTGAAATAATCCTTGAGATGACCCCAGTTGTCAAAAATCAAACAGGATTTATAAAATACTCTAATATCATTCTAGAGGAAAGGTGCTGTAGAAATAGGAGGTGTTATTATTATTATTACTATAATAAGACAAGCTCCCCATGTCCCTTGGCGATAATGCAGCTCACTGGTAGGGATAAACTATGGAGCCAACGTGAACCAGATTATTGCCTCATAAAATGGGACACCTGCCCTATTATCCCTTAAATAATAAGTACATAAAACAAATTTGACTGTAATAATAAAACATAATGGTGAAATATTTATGGGTAATTTTTCAAGGCAGCACACGAGGATTAAGCCACACGATTTCTGTTGGCTTTTACAAGGGTTGCACTGGTAAATCCTCCCCGTGAGGTCCTGCAGAGCCTGATCTGTGAGGTGTTTGAAAGGCTGCAGAGCCTATGGTAACGTTAGATGGAGATTTTAAAACATGATAAACAGTCACAGAATCCACCCTTGCACCCAGTGGGCAGAAAGGGAAGATGTACTTGGAGCGATCCAGCCAGGAACATGCTTATTAGTAGGGAAAACATTCCAGTCAGGTCTGTCCTCCCATTCAGGTGCAGATAACGCAGTTGTGCAGGTATTAACAAGAGCAAATGGTTAATTAAGGCAGCTCAGGAGCTGGGGCCACTGTTCAATCACAGCAGCCACTAAAGAAACACAACAGAAACACAGAAATGCAAACTGGGCTTAGATCTCAGTTTGCAGATGAACAGTCCTGAGTCCTTAATAAAAACAATATCGAGTCCTTAATATGACAAACTAACAAATAATATAAAGAATTACTTCAGGGATATAATCAGATTACATCTTTTACATCTCAGAATGTCTCACTTACCTCTCACCTTTTCTAAATTCTTGTAACTGAAAAAGCCACAGGGAGAAAAAAAAATCCCATTTTCTGATTGTTCATTTGGCAGAACAGTGCAGATAAACAGGTTCCATAATTCCTTTCATACAGTTATTTCCATATTCATTTCCCTACTCTTCTGTGGGATGACTTCTGATAGAGCAACAAAGAGAAGAAAATAATTTTTAAATAAGGAAGTGTATTTCAAAGCCAGAGAATCTGTTAAAGGCATCTGAGGCAGCAGAACCTCTAACCTGTGAGTACTTTCAATGTACTTTAGATTTTAAGTTGTCAGGGTCACATTCTCAGTTTTTGAAAAGCACTCACGTCTGGCTCCCGAGACAGAACCTGATTTAGTCTTTTATAGGCACAGAGTACATGCTCTAATTAACCCAACTTAATTTTTGAGCACAGTCCCAATGTCTAATAGCCATGATGCAATATTTAGCAGATTATATCAGTTATTATTTTATAAGACACCAGATAAAAATAAAGAGAATATCCGAATGGCACCTTCCTTTAGCACTGTCTTCCAAATAACTGCATTATTTTGATTTGCCTCTTTTTAAAGCAGGATGGGGTTATTTAAAATCTGGCTCATTTGCTGGTTTCATATTGCTGGCACTTCTCCAAGCCAAAGGAAACACCTAATATTTTCCATGGATGTTCCCTGCTGCTCGTGCAGCCTCACCTTGGGTGTGTAGGGCTGTTGTGGGTGTTCGGGGTGACCTGCACAGCCCCGTCCACCCACCCAAGGGCTCTTCCCACAGCCCCCAGGTTCACTTTGCACACTTGCATGATTAAAACCACTGCCCTCCTGCTCCTGCAACCATTGCCTGCCCCAATCATGTGCATTTTGACACGTGTATTCCCCAATCCTCTAACACAGAATCAATTTTACGCCCTCAGAGCCGACACAGACACTCACACACAACTCACGTGTGCGTGTGAAAATCTATTCATGCCTTGCTTTTTGTGTGCTGCCTCACTGCTTGAAGAGTTTCTGTGTTTTCTCTTTGTATCATTCTGGCTCTGAGTACTAAAAGCCACATCCTGTTATGTTTGGTTGCTAGGTGGAGAAATGTTATCATGGGCTTCAGCAATAATTTATCCATAGAGCTAGAGGAGCTGTCATGTACTTCTGACAGTGAGCTGCAGCACTTTATCAGCTTGCCTGTAAATCAACCGTGTGTGGGTGAAGATGCCAGCAATGTTTGATCTCTCTCAGACACTCTAATAATCTGCTTTTGTCTGATTGATTCCTTCACATCACCAAGCACATTGCAACCGAGAGTGGAGTGCCCTCTGTTTATCTCCGTTGGTCATCTGCTTGAGGGCAACAGGGCAGAAAATGCTGTTCTCGCTGAGATGTAAGAGTTTTTTGGAATTAGGGGCTTTACATCATATCCTGGAGCAGGTTTAGTCCAGTAAATCAATGATAGCAGAATTGAATGCACCATAAATACCTCAAACCGTATCTCTTACAAGAATGTAAGAGTAATTCATAGAAACAGGAAAGGTAACTTTGCTGGGAAGAATTACGACCCCTACAAGCTCGAGACATGCAGGTCTTTTATGGGCTGTGTTTACATCTCCCCTCCTGAACTTGGGGAGGAACGCTCTGCTCTGGCATTTGGTTGCAGGCAGTTCAGAGAGAATATTGAGCAGAGCAGGACGCTGTCAGAATTGATCACTGCCTCTCACGCCAAAGCCCAAGTGTTTCTAAATTTCTGTCGAGTTCCGTTTCCCGCAGGAGATGCCAACGCGGCGTCTCGTGCTCCGCACCGGAGCTCCGCACGCCTGGTGCTGTGCAGTGCCTGCTGCCAGAACACGCAGAAAGGAGGCAGTCTAATGAGCAGCAGGAGCTCCTCCAGGAGGAGGGGGAAGCGTGTGCCTGTTCCAGCGGACAAATGGATCTGACTTTGTTTTGTTTTGTACATCCCACTGTTCCCCCGGCTGAAAATCAAGAGCTCTCCCGGCGGCAGCTCGCTGTGCGCTGCCCAGGGATCAGCAGCACACTTGGACTCCTGACCTCTGTGAAAGCTGAGGGTGGGAGATATTGAGGATGTGATTGACTAAACCCCGTCAGGAGAAGCATTTGGTTGTGGTGTCCCCTCTGTGGGTCACAGTGGGATGGCACAGGCAGCAGGATATTTGGGGAATGCACTAATCTCAACCCAGTACACCAAGGGGAAAGGATGGTGTTTCACAGCACCACTGAATGCTAAAAAAGGGTGACAATTCACACTGCATAATGTATTTGTAATTGTGCTTAAGGCAATGAGAAGGGAGGAATTCATGATATGATTCTGGCATACCGTGTAGCCCTCTGTGGATGCTGGAGGAGCAGTTACATCTCCTCCAGAGTTATTGCATTGAGCACTGGAGCTCCAAGACAGAGTGGATCCGCTGCGTCTTCCTTGGCCCATCACAGGGATTTCCCCAAACTATCATATAAATGGTTATGGAGACTGGTTTCATGGGAAGGCAGCCCCTTCCTGTTCCCAGCTGCCTGACCACACAGGCAACACCTTTTATGTGCAGCAGAGGGGCCTGTGCTGCTCCTCCACAATTACAAACTCTTGCAGTGAAAGCCAGACTTCCATTCACAAGAGACATTTTTTTCCACCACACGTCATAAAAGCAAGGAGAGTGATAAAAGCAAGGAGACCTGAAGTTACAAGGTGTAGCAGGGTGTGTTCTCTATTCTTTCACCAGCAGGCATCATCAAATGACATTTGGTTTTACTGACTATTACAAAACACATGCTGTTGCCTCCTCAAAGACCTTAAGCTGCCATCCCTTCAGCACCGCATTGGAATGCAAAGTGCAGGCACAGACAGACTCATGGACACAGACAGACCCATGGACACAGACAGATGTAACACCAGAGACCTCATGGCTCCTGTGCATGCAGCACATCAGGATAACAGAGACAAGCTGTGAGGCTTTTAAATTCAGAGCTCTGTTCTAGTTTGGATACGACCACTTGACCTCTTCTTTAAGCCAGTTACCTGCAGGCAATTGCTCTGTAATTCCCAAAGTTTGCTAGAAAACAGTCAGAACCCTACTGGCTAAAGTCAGCAGGGAAAGACTGAAAGGTCCCAATTCTGGCTTTATTTATGTTGATTTAGAGGTGGTGGATGTCCATGAAGTCTGTGCTCAGATTGGCTCTGGCACAAATAACTGAAGTCTAAAGCCTCAGTGGTCTTAAACACACTCGCTCTAAACTGCTCTTCAGCCTTATGTCACAAATCAATTAGAATAAACCTACCATTATATCTCAAATGCTACTCATTTCTAGTATTGCAATATAAGGGTTGGCACTTTCCAAAGGAGAATGAAGAAACTAAAAAAAAAAAAGGAGAAAAATGACAAATAAAAGGAGAACTAGAAAAGAGGAAAACAGAGCATGTCTAAGAAAACTACTCTTCCAATAACATCAAGATATCCTCAAGGGAGATGTATAAGTAGAAGATATTACATGGCTGAACAGTAAATATCACATTTCTTTTTACAAGCATGTTTTTGCATTTTATTATATCTTGACTGGCAGATCCATAAATTTTGAATATCCAATCTAAGAAAAGACAGGCTTAGGATCTGCAGGTTGTGTATTCCACAGGTCTAAGTGGTCAGTGGCATTTTGTTATTCCATAACAGATTTATTAATTAGTGAGTTATGTTCATATCTAGGAAATTTAATATGTGTTTTCATGAGCAAGTGAAAGGAATTAATAAATACTTGCCTATATTTAGGATTTTAGTTCTAGAAAAATAATTACTGGTATATTCATGGCAATAAACAGCTCCAAGTGCTCTCTCTGTCACCCAGCTTCCATGTGGCATTTTGTGGCACATACTTAGGGGTCTAGATGAAGCCCCAAAAAGTACAGAAAGGAACTATTGGGTAACTCTGGGTTATTCAACCTCCTTATAAAGCATTTTGCTGCTGCTGTCAGCCAGCAGTGTGTTATTTCCTGAAGTATAATCCCAGAAAAGCAGCATTTCTGGATCATCTACCAAACTGTTGGCCAGTGCTGAGTGATTGATTGAGGTTATGACATGACTTTTACAGACAGCACTTCCAGGACCGATGCAAACACATGGGACTTGCTTGTTATTTTGTGGTAAAGAAAAACACTTGGAGATGGGAGGTGGAATTTCCGCCAGCTGGGAGACTTCAGTGATTTGACATCGGGCTGTTTTTGTTTGATGGTGGGAGACAGGTCTGATGAAACCTGACATACAGTTTACAAGAATAATTAATATCATCGGTGTGTTAAAGGGAAAAACCTCACTCACACATTGATGTCAATTCATTGGAAGATACATTTCCTGTAGTTTTGGTTTGCCCCAGGTAAGTGCCCTTGTGCTGAAAGGAATCATTTTCTTTGGTACAAACTGCCAAGGCAAAGCAAGTGATTTCTTGCTGGCTACCTTTGAGAATACATTGATTTAGACCCAACCAGACTGGATCTACCTTGTCATATATTAAAATTGTAGTCAAAGGTTGTGTGTAGCCAGGACACCACCAAGATGACAAGTTTGGAGCAGAGAAAGAAACATCTTAGTTTACAAATACCATTTGTAATACAGTTGTTTCATTTTTCGGGGGTAAATCTGAGACCAGCATGTCTCAGCTGTAAATTCCAGCCTGAATAATTTCCCATGTGCTGAGCCTACCACTTTACATTGGTAATCTCAAAGTCCTTGTAAAGAAAGGATTCAATTTGGAAGCCTAAATAGAGACTGTTCTAGTAAAATCATATATTGGTCAGGCATATATTGGAACATGCTATAAATGAATGAGACCTCTGAGAACAGGGCCAAAAGCAGCACTATGAGGGAAGAGCACAAGCCTAAGTTTATCCAATAAGGAAATAATAAGGATATGGGTTAATCCTTAAATCCTGCCTGTATGAATAATGTTCCTGTCTTCTCCTGCTCTCTGCCTGCTCAGGAACCACTGTCCAAAACAATCTCCTGTCTTCTTCTGGTATAGGAAAGAAAGGCTTAAGTTCTTCCCTTTCAAGCTGGATAACAGCATTGACACCCACTCAGGTTGCAGAGTGGGAACACTTAGATGGAGGTAGGGGGATCCGGGTTTAATTCTCTCCTGTTGGAAAGTGCCATTACAACCAACTGACTTAAAAAGAGAATGTAATTTTCATCAGAAGTTTCACTTGACTAGAAAAGGGGGAGATGTGGATGGAAGGCTGTGGAAAAAGAAAACATGTGCCCTCCTTTTCATCCTGATGGTTATTTCCAAAGAACAGTTCCACATTTCACAGCAGAGAGCCGCTGGATAAAGCACAGTTCTTGGAAGAGTGACCCCTCAGAGGGTCTTTTCCCAAGGTGTGCACCCTTCTGGCATCGTGAATCTCAAGGATTTTTTCTGCACAGTAGCACAACTTCAGCAGGAAAACTGAAAATTTTCCTTATGTTGTGCAACATAATCCACAGTTTAGGAGGAAGGATATACTTCCATAGGGAGGAGGTCTGGAACATTTCCTTATGTCAAGCCTGCTTGGCTCGGGTTTGCTCCTTGCCAGGCAGGTACTCTAAGGAGGAGTTATTTTGTAAAAGAGATCTTCCTACCTCTTCCTGTGTTTTAAAAGAGGGCACGTGCTCCTGGTGCCTTTTCTAAAGGACAACAAGGTAGTTTAAGAGGCAAACATCTCCTGAAACCAGTCCCTCAAGGGGGACCTGCTTACACGCTGAGATGTGAGGTGAGCGTGGTCTAACCTGGCAAAACGGGGTTTCATCTGTATCAGCCCTAAACCAGCCCCAAACCACAGGGTTGGGAAGGCACTGTAGGGTAGATGTGCTCAGCAGAGCAGGAGTCACCAGGATGGCTGAATTCCTGTGTGCCTGGACAAGGGCTCCATGTTGCTGATTTTCAGGGCTGCAGAAATATTTACAACTGACATATCTCAGTAGATCAAAGGAAGCTGCTGCTGCTGCTTAGCATTTCTGGCCTGTAATCTGCATTAATGCCTGTGCTCTTTCCAGATTTGTCTGAAATGTTAATGAAAACACTGAATTTGCCCCAAAGCAGCAGAAATTTGGAGAAGAAAGTGGGATGAAATTTCCCATTAATATCACTGGATCTCTTAATGTGAGCCAAGCAGGTGGTGGGTTACAAACCATAATGAACTGACACCTTTTCTCCCCAGAAAGGTGCACCAAAGCACTGCAGCTGAACCTATTTTAGATTGTAAAAGTGCAAATGAACTGGCAAAGCCTTACAGCTGGGGAGATGCTGCAGGAAAGGTTTATTTTTTTAATATTCAAGTGCAAAGGTATTGTTCCCCTTGCTTCTACAACGAGCAAATCACCTATTTAGGACACCAGGGGAGGCTAAACCACCACAGCAGGTGAACCTGCAGCCCCACTGCCCTCTCCCTCCCTGCAAGCACTTCACAGAGTCACAGAATCATTTAGGTTTGGAAGAGACCCCCAAGATCATTGACTCCAACCTTTGACCAACCTTGTGTCACAGTGAGTGGTACCAGATGCTTCAGTGCTGGTATCAAACAGAACAACACGGTACTTGATCCAGTGAAATCATCAAATATGTGAGCATCTGTTTCTGAGCAGACAGTAAAAAAAAAATAAATATATAATTGATAAAGAAAATTTAATGAGAGCTATTCTGCAAATAGAAATTAGCATCTAATGGCTCATTTCTTGTGTGTCTCACTCTTAATGTCCTCCCACCACACAGAGGATGTACCAGGAGTCATCAGGAGAGTCTGAGACCATGCTATAATGTCACACAAGGCAGAATCATGGCAGCTTTTACTGATCCTTGAGATCTAGGTGTGCAAAATCCATCAGTGACAGACAAGGCATCAAGGACTGAGGAGAGAGAAATTCATTTCAGCGGGAGGTATTCTCAGTGCAAATGAAAGCTGTTCTTCTAGATGTGGTATTAGGGAGACAGGGGAACTGTGAATTGAGTATTTCAATACCTATCCACCCCTAATTTTAAGCATTTTTTAAAAAAATGAAATAAAGAAAAATGAAGGAAAGCTCTTTTGTTGTATTCAGAACAATCAAACACCATGGGACTGGATGGCTTAGGGAACTGTTAATGGGATACAGACTATTTCAAGGTCACTGGTTCAAGTCTAGCTCAGATTAGTAATAATTGGAAGTCATTATTACTTGATGGCTGTTCAGTAGTTTAAGTGACATGGGATGGTGGTCTTAATGTAGCATTGAGTGAACACCTGTCTTTAGCACACACACGAAAAAAGCAGGTTGTTGATGTTAATTTAGTGCTTTTCATCGGGAGTAAATTTAAAGATAAAACATAAAACAAATAAATGCAAGTAATTTCTAAACAGTCCATGTCATCTACTTTTTCAAATAAGTCATTGATTTCTCAAAGTTGGCATTGGTCTGTAAGGCCCTAACACAAAATCCCAGAATCACTGAGGCTGGAAAAGCCCTCCAAGACCATCGAGTCCAATCTGTGCCCCATCCCCACCTTGTCCCCCACTGAGTGCCACGTCCAGTCCTTCTTTGGACACCTCCAGGGAGGGGGACTCCAACACCTACCTGAGCAGCCCCTTCCAATGCCTGACAACCCTTTCCATGGAGAAATTCCTCCTGATGTCCAACCTGACCCTCCCCTGGCACAGCTTGAGGCCATTTCCACTCCTCCTGTCCCTTGTTCTCTGGGAGCAGAGCCTGACCCCCACCTGGCTCCCCCCTCCTGTCAGGGAGTTGCAGAGCCAGAAGGTCCCCCCTGAGCCTCCTTTTCTCCAGGCTGAGCCCCCCCAGCTCTCTCAGCTGCTCTTGGTGCTCCAGACCCTTCCCCAGCTCCGTTCCCTTCTCTGGACATGCTCCAGCCCCTCAAAGTCCTTCTTGTCTTCAGGGGCCAGAACAGGACACAGCACTGGAGGTGTGACTCCACCAGTGCCACCAGCACAGAGGAACAAATATATTTAACAAGGGTTAAGCCCTACCCAAGAGGTTTTCTCCTCTCCCTGGTACTGGAGGCGACAGCCTTTGAAATGTCTTATTAGAAAACCAGGTTGGAACATAAACCAGTGATTAATGAATTAGATCTTCCATTGGTCAATCCAGTCACAGACAACACTAACCTTTTGAACATGGGGCAAAATTGCATCCATGGATTTAGGATAGGATGAGTGATTACCCTGTGGTAATTCAGAGGAAAAGTGTTGTGCAATGCATTTGGGGTTTATGATAATTCAGTAATAATGACAGACCTTGGGCTAAACTGCATGCTTGGAATTTGGTTCTCTATATTATATCAAAAATCTTGGGTAGACATCTGTAGTCCGTAAAACTCACATAAAGGATTTCATTGATTTTAAAATTCATTCAACTCCCCCTGAAAATCTTATTGTCTCTCTCTGGGTTTTATGATTCAACTTTTATGAATCAAATTTGCAAACTTTGAACTTATTCAGACTTTGAATGTGCTCAGCCGTATAAAAAGCCAAAACAGTTTCTCCCAAATAATCCCAATTACTCTCAACACTTAATTGGTATTAATTTATTTAATTTGAGCTACTGCTGAAGAAAATGATTAAAGTGCTTTCATTGGGATAGGGTTCTGAATGGACAAGTATTTCACATTATCTGCTGAAAATCCATTCTAGTGGGTAATGTTTGCTATTCTTTTCACATACAATTATTCCTCTCAGTATTAATCAGAGAATTTTTCAAAGGTGTAGTCACGAAATTGGACTGGCTCCATGCCTAATCCAATATATGTTGCTCAGTAAACATATATCTTGGGATATATGTTTATATCCCAAGATATATGTTTTCTAGGCAACTGAATTTTAGCAGAGTGACATAGTCACAGGCAGGAGCCCAGCAATACAAACTGATATTTTCTTGATGGAGAACTCATTGCTATGCAAAGCTATTTTTAGTTTTCTGCTTAACATGTTTTGGGTGAAAAAAACCAAACTGGAGGTAGGGTATTTTCCTAAGTAATTCTGTGCTGTATATGCCATGTTCAGGATGTGTCAGTGACTCAGGGCTTTAAATAAAAACACCAGACATCATTTCCCTGTTTCATGCTGCATTACTCAGGTAAAAAGAAAACATCTCTGCAAAGTCATACTGAGTAACACCAATGTACAACTGCCTGTAAGAAAACCTCCCTGAGGGTACAGGAGTGAAGGGTTCATTCATCAGGAATGGAAAAGTTAGGAACTTAGAGTGTGCAAGGAATAATGTGTAATAACTCTGCTGAGACAATAACCTACATTGAAATCAAAACTGGAATAAATTTTGAATTCACAGTGATGGGTTCTGTGATATCTGACGCTCCTCAGCCTTACTCAGCTGAGGAAGATTCGTGAGATTCATTTTGTAGGATTTTCAAGCTAAATTTGTAGGCTAAAGAGCCTCAGCTAATCCACAGAGTGGTATCACTAATACAAGGTTGTGCTATGAATACGTTTAAACCAGAGGTTTGTACCTTGAGAAGCTTTTCATTGGGATCTGGTCCGAGCAGACCCCGTTCCACACTCCTCAGGAGTACAGAAGACACCTGAAGTCTTGTCACAACAGCAAGCCCTTGTGTGGTCAGAGTCATACTGCAATCAGTTCAAGGGAAGCAGCTCTGAAGGAATATTTATCAGTTTGGAGATAGAATGAAATCCAGTTCTTTCTGCTTCCCCATGTGCACTCCTGGCAGGGGTGTCCTGGGGGCACCTCTGGGACCATCCACATGAGTAAGTTTGCAGGATCGGGTCCAACCCCAATCCACTTTCCAAACGCAGCCCTGTCTCACACAGACACTTTAATCAAAACATATTTCTCCTGTTTATGCATTTATAAATGCAGTACCTGCTTTTACTTAAGAATCAAGCAGCACGGATGCAACTCGTTTTACCCCCTTGCTCCTGCATTTTGAAATATTATTTTGCTCTTAATTTTCAGCCTCCTCCGCCTCCTCCTTTCATTCTCTCTCTCTCTCTCTCTCTCTCTCTCTCTCCCTTTTTTTATTTTGGTTGGTGACCACAAGTGTAGTTTCAGTAAATAAAGCTGGTGCTTGATAATGTGGAACGGCCAGGAGCTTAACTCTGCCCTTGGAGATCGCTTACATCAAACCAGCAATCAAAAAGTGGTGCAGATAAAATTTGTCATCAGGGATTTCCTACAAAAGAATTACAGTGGAGAAATAGCCTGATCGATACTATGGATTTTCACTGCAGGGGCTGATAGTCCAATTGCTGTGAAACACTCACACAGATAAAAGGGCACGGCTGCCACTTTGTTACAGACTGCTGACTCAGCCCAAAGCCTGGCAGGTATTTATAGGCCAAAGTGATACAGAATTATCACCTTGCAGTGCCCAGCTCTTGTTAGTTCTGAGATTGCCTCCCTTTATGGGATTGCTAAATGCAGGTGAATGGAAAAATGATGGCTAACAGCTGTCAAAATGCAACAGAATGAAGTACTTAAATCTTTTTTTATCCATTAAAAGGGTAACAACCAAACATACATCATAGTGCAGACGTTGTAATGATATTTGGGGCCAGTAAACTAGGGGTTATAAACAATGTACATCCCATCAAAATGGGAAGGAAAATACAAAAGGGAAAAAAAAGCAATAATAAAAATTCTTCTTGTTACTTCACAATATGTGGCTTTGCCATCTACTTTGCTGCTTTTTGCAGGGATCTCCAGGCTCCTGGTTGAGGCTGCTCAGACCAACCTCCATCTCCATCAATATATGATAATTTTATACCTCATATACTGCAGGGAAAACTGCTTTAAGAAGACACTGGGGTGGCTCCAGGAACTCTTCTTCACTGTTCTAAGCCAGTATTTTACACCCTCCCCAACATAAAATGCTTGTGGATATCTAGTCTTAACAAACTGCATTAAGGGCTCACTGACTTCAAGAACTGTTTCACAAACACTTACAGGACCAGACCATGATGGAGGCAAAAGAAACACTCTCATCTTTTGGTCCAACAGGTAGCACAAAGCATCTCTGTCCTGGTGAACAGCCCGGGATTGACTCTTCTCTGCTCTATTACACCTCTAGTACAAGCCTGAACATGTGTTTAAAGTGACTTAAAACCAGTCTGAGAACTAGTTCAAATGTATTTTTTACAAATAATTTCTTAGCAGAGACAGAGCCAAATCACGCTTAATATTTATGATTTTTTTCTAACCTCACAGTCCACCTCCCAGACAACTTAACATCCACTTAAATAATCTTTTTCTAACATTCCCTTGCAAAACTATGACATCCTTAGCATATCACCTACTCTTATATCACCACATTCATCAAATTGAGAATGTTTCTTTCACTTGTAAATACACAGCTTGTCTTGGTGTGTGAGCAAACCAAAGTTTACCCTTTTAGCACTCTCAGAATATGGATGGTTGTAAATACAAGTAGAGAAGTGAACATCAATTTCCAAACACCAAAGTGAACACTAAAGAAGGGGAGAGGGATGGGGAAAAAGAAAAAAAAAAAAAAAGAAGATACATTTGATTTTCACAACTCTCACCCATTTTTAGTTATACAAAGCTTCATATTTAG